CAGGGGAAGGGGAAAAAAATAAGAACCAAGAGAGATTATGTAAAGGTGCAAATTTCCAATGATGAATGTCATTATATTGTACACCTAAAAATGTACCAATAAAAGGATATACAAAAAAATATTGGCTCATTAGGTGCAGCAAATGTACCAAATTAATAATATAAGATGCTAATAGGGGAAATTGGGCTGTGAAATAAATGAGGATTTTCTTTACTATTTTTGCAGTTTTTCATGAAATAAAAAAAACTTTTCTAAAATAAAAGTTTATTGGGCCGAGGATTTAGCTCAGTGGTTCTACCGCCTGCCTCACAAGTGCAAGGACCCGAGTTCAATTCCCAGTTCCAAAAAAAAAAAAAGTTTATTAAAAATACAATTGAAGTGCCAGGGATTTAGCTCAGTCATTTCGCCGCCTGCTGTGCAACCGCAAGGACCGAGCATGAAGAGACCTCAAGGACTAGGTGGAAAAAATTAAGACTCTTCCACCCTATGAGAAGGACAAGATATGAAAACTTTTCTCAGATCTTTGAAGGGTACCACATAGGGGAGAGGGCTCTGGTCTTCAGTGGCCACAGACACGGTTACTTGAGAAACTCACAGCTTCTCTCTCTTTTATTTGAAAATACATGAGATGCCATCCAAGCACAGAGATTATTCCTGGATATGCTGACTCCATATCATTTTAGCCTGGTATCCAGAGTTCTTTCAAGGACAGGAAGCCAAGATTTTCCAGGATTTTAACAAGCAAACATGTTTTTCCCTAAATAAAAGACTAGTGCTTGCCCTTCAGTGCAAGGAAATTTAAGAAGATCAGAGGATTAGGCCATAAAAAGGGGATGAAGTACTGACACAAGCTACAATTGGGTGAACCTTGAAAACATGCTGTATGAAGGAAGCTGGGCCCGAAGACACATACTATATGATCCCATTAATGTGAAAGTCTGTAGAGACAAAGAAGATTTTCTGGCTAGAGAGGAAGAGAAAGAGAGGTAGCTAATAAGTACAGATTTTCTTCTTTTTGAGGTGAGGAAAGTTTCCTAAAATTGTAATGATAGTTACACATACCTATGAAGACACTAAAAATCATGAAATTGTATACTTTTGATGAATAAACTGGAGTGCCTATCAATATATCAAAGTAAAGCTTTTTTAAAAAAGTCATTAATTTTATTGGTACAGTTTAGGTATACAATATGCTGATATTCATTATTGGGAATTTGTACCTTTACATGATGTATCTTGGTTCTTATTTTTTCCCCATTTCCCTGCCCTCCCTTCAACACCTCCACCCCTCCCTATTTACAAAGACTTTGTTTCCAATTTTTCTTTTTCTCATATTTATTCCTTTCCCTTCTTTCTTTTCTCCTACCCCTCCTACTTCCCCTTCCCCTTTGGATCTTGTGTTCCTATTTCACATTATCTATTGTACCTTTTGGTCCTTATTTACACTTTCAGTTTCTCACACCAGAGAAACTATTTGGTATTTACATGTGTGTCCTATTTATTTCACTTGAATAATACAGCCTCAGGGCCAGGGATTTAGCTCAGTGGTGCCGCCACCTGCCTCGCAAGCACAAGGTCCCGAGTTCAATCCCCAATACCAAAAAAAAAGAGTATGGCCTCAATGTGCATCCATTTAGCTATAAATGTCTCTAGTTTCTCATTCTTTATGGCTGAGTAGTACTCCACTTTATTAAACACACACACACACACACACACATCATCATCATCATCATCATCATCTTTATCCAGTCACCAGTTGATGGGCAATTGGGGCTGTTTCCAGATAAATGAGGCATATAGGACTCCAACTAGCCATGATCAAAAAAAATCTACACCTAGGCATATAATAGTCAAGATTTAAAAAAAAAAGTCAAGATTCCAGAAACCCAACAAAAGAACAAAATACTACAAGTAGTTAGAGAAAAGAAATAAATCACATACAAAGGAAAGCCCATCAGAATCACAGCAGGCTTCTCAATACAAGCCCTCAAGTCAGAGTGAAGTATTTCAAGCCCTAAAAGAAACAACCTCCAACCCAGATTAATGTACTCTGCAAAACTATCTTTCAAAATTGGTGGAGAAAGAAGATATTTTCATGGCAGAGATCACCTGAGGAACTTCATGAATACCAAACCAGCACTCCAACAAATTTTAAACAATGTCCTAGGAAAAGACAATGAGGATCACAACCCCAGGAAGCCCGGCAGAATGAATCAATCAGGCATGACAAGAAATTAAATGCAAAGGGGGAGAATCCAACAACAGGAAAAAGTCACAACAAGGATAAATCATCACATATCAGTTATAACCATCAATGTTAATGGTCTTAATTCACCAATCAAAAGAAATAGACTGACAGAATGGGTCAAGAAGTAAGATCCAGGGCCGGGGATTTAGCTCAGTGGTTTCGCCGCCTGCTGCGCAAGTGCAAGGACCCGAGTTCGATCCCCGGTACCAAAAAAAAAAAAAAAAAGAAGTAAGATCCAACAATATGCCGCATACACAAACCCACTCAATTCAAAAAGAAACTCATAGACTGAAAATTAAAGGGTGGAAAACAATACTCCATGTGACAAGAACCCAAAATAAAAGCAGGAGTAGCTATCCTATTTGCAGATAAAATGGATTTCAAACCAAGTAAAGCTATTTTTAAAATAAGGGAACCATCCAGAAGAGTGACCTGGATGACTCCTGAGCCTACACCATCTTGGCAAAAGGTACTGCTTTCCCCACTCTGACTGCTCTTGTGGGTCCTTGTACCTTCAGACCTCTGCAAGCTCAGCATCTAACTTCCACTTACAGTAGTGGAGTGTGTCTCACTGAAGAGGACATTGACAGCAAGAGGGCTTGACAGCTCTAACCATTATACATGCCTGTGGAAGCCCTACACCGCCCACATAGAGCTCAGGTTCCATCACTAGGATAGGATCCCCACCTGGACCAAACCCTCTCTCCATGCCCACGGCATCATGCACATCGAACACTGGATGAGGGAGAATGGTTTGCTTGGTCTTCTCTGCTCAAAGCCTCTCCCTATTGCTGTCTCCTGTACCCCAGTCCCATTCCTAGACATGAAAGGAGGTGGGAGCTTCATTAACTCATCTCCCTCTCCCCCATCACCCACCAATCCCAGCCACTCTGGCCTCTTCTCTGTTCCTTAAACACTCCATGAATGGACCAGTCTCCCCACAGAAGGCCCCTTCCATCTCCTCCTTCAGGTCTCAGCTCAAATGTCTCTCTCCATGACACCTACTCTGACAATGTCAGGTAAAATCTTAACCTCATCCCCTGACCCTTCTCTATGGCTTTTCACAGCACATTATAATACTGAGCACATTTCCTGAGTGTGCTGCCTGCCTTCCCTGCTCAGTAAGCTCCATAGGGGCATGGCTGTTATCTCCTTTGTTGACTGAATGTATGAAGGACACCTACCCCGGTGCCTGAAAACAATGAATATGCAATAAATACTGTTCCAATTCCCTTACAGAACTCTGGTTCGGTTTCAAATAGAATGTGTGGACCATAAGCCTATTATTACCCAGTCTCCTTATTCACCATACAGCTTCTTCTAACATATAGAGCTCAGGCAGGGACACTCAAGGCTGAGATGAACCACTTTCCCACTCTCTAGAATAATGACCTAGTATCATCAAATCTAATAGAGTTGTCACTGTTGGTCTTTTCCAACTCTGCTTCCAAAGTACCATGATCAGCCCAAGTCTCTGCACATCTAGAGAAAGCTGGCTCTTCATTCTAGCACCTGCTCCCAACCTCCAAGAACTGGGTCTTCCCCCAACTGACTACAAGTTCTTATGCAAGAGACATCAGCACCCTATTCTACGTGTTATTCTACTATCACACTGTAAGGTGGGCTGGGAAAATGCAAGTAAGTTCACTTGCAAGCAAACATGGTAGCTATCTCTGCTCATCTAGTAATTCCCTGTTTACTTATTGCTTTCCTTCACAAGACCATAAACTGTTGGAAAACACAGACTGGGTTGTCTTGGGTCACCACTGAGAACAAAACAGGTGTTCAATATCCATTGGAATGCATAAAAAGGGCTCATTTGTGGGGGGTTTTTCCCCCCATACCAAGAACAGAACTCAGGACCTTGTGCTTGCCAGGCAGGTGCAGCGCCACTGAGCTAAATCCCCGGCCCCTCATTTGTTCTCTTTGATTGTTGTCATTCTTTCTTGGTTTGTCCTAGATCTCAGGGAGTAACTTGTGAATTATATACCCCCATGAATCAGCAGGAACCCAAGAACATCTAGAAATTCTGGCTCCTTCTGATGAGATTTACCCAGTGACACCAAAGTTCTGCAAAGGATATAAGGAAAGTAAAGTTACAGTGTTTTTAGATTCCTAGCAAAATTTCGGATGATAAACCCAAAATCGATTGGGTGGAGGAAGGAAACTTTGAAGTCTGCGCAGGGGGTGATCTCCTAGCACCATCAAGGATTATCCGAGCGCCCCCTATTGGTCAGATAAGACCCTACTCCACCTCTCAAGAGAAGCATTCTGGGGACGCAGCCAAGTCAGCTCTTCGTTCAACTCATTCTTTGGTTGACAGAGTTGGAGGAACAGGGGAAACGACCCTCGGAATCCGTGAAAGCCAGAGGTGGAGAGAGAAAAGAAAACTCAGGAGACGCTGATGGTGGACCGTCAGGCAGGGGCTGAGAGAAATGCGGAACAGACTGGGAAGGGGAGCGGGAAACGTTGGGGTCGGAAGTTTGGAACCGAGAACAGAGAGAAGGCCAGAAAGTACACCGGACCCCTGATCCTCGGACTGGAGACTCAGACAGAAGGGGCGGCGGCGCTCAGAGGGGTACTACGAGTAGGCGCGAGAAAGCGGCACTCGGGTCAAGGGGCGCGTGGGCGGGGGGGCTGGGGGCGCCCGCACCCCGCTACCCACCTGAGGCTGCCATGCCGCTGGACGCTCTCACATCCCCGCCTGCGGCGTGCCCGGTGCCGGGGCCCGGAGCCTGGCCGGGCGGTGTCCCTGAGCGCGGGGCAGGAGGTCGCCCGGGCTCCACGAAGGACCAGAGCAGCTCTGGCGCTTCCTCCTGGCTGGCTGTGAGGACTCGCGCGAGGGCGTGTCCACGGGGGCCCGCCCCGCCTGTCCGGCTCGCCCGTGGCACCTGCACCCGAGGCCGTTGGGGAGGGGAAGTGAGAACCCACGCGGCCCCGGCCGCTGGCCAGCTAGCCGCACAGCTTCCTGCTCCAGGTGGAGACAGGGGCCTCTGGACCACGTGTATCCCACACCTCCTTGGAACAGGCCTGATCCTGACAGGCAGCCCCAGAACAGCGCGAGGGGGCGGGGAATTGAGGGAAAGAGGGGACAAGGTAGGGCTGACCCATCTCGGGGACCTGGGGTGGAGGGGTCACGTGAGCACCAGCTGTCCCAGCTACCTCCTCATCCCCAGGGGCTTGTCCCTGAACTGCTGCACCTGCACGAAGGGGAAGGCAAGACACCTGGCCCTGGGACTTGGCATTTCCCTTGAGCACCCTCCTGTGACCCTTCTGCAGTTCCTTGGATCTGCTCTCCTGGTGGCTCACAAACGTTGATTACGATTTCATCTGATAAATGTATGATAGTTATCACGGCCACATTATGCTGTTCTAAGCTGGGCAAATGCTAAATGCCATACACACATTGTTGCATTTCTCCTTCACAACAGCCCTGTAGGTCACATTTATTGCCCTCTGGCCCGATTCCCTGCTCGGATTTGCACAGAGAATAAATGCTCCTGGAGGTTCGTATCAGCCTTTGGTTCCAGAGCTAGGCTTCTGCTTATCCCTTGCTCTCCCCTGCCGTCTTCCTCCCGTTGCCTCCTCCTATAATTGTTCTTACTACCACTTGATTATGGAGTCCTCAACAATCTGGGGTGCAGAGATGAGGGTAAGTTAGGGTTCAAGTCTAGGTATAAATAAGTGAAGGATTTAATAATGGAAATAGCAGGATAAGGCCTAAATTCCTTTTCGGTTCCTACAAACTGCCACAAATTTTCTACTGTTGCTACAAATTTAGTGGCTTAAAACAACAAAAACTTATTATTTTACAGTTCTGTAGTTCAGCAGTGTGAGGTGAGTCTTACTGGACTAAAATCAAGGTGTTGCCAGTAGAAGAGTTCCTTTGGGTTCCTGTGTGTCAAGTAGATGAGAATTCATTTCCTTTGTATTTTCAGCTTCTAAAAGCTGCCTGCCTTCTTGGGTCTGGTCAGCTTCTTCCATCTTCAAAACCAGCAACATAACTTCTCTCTGGGCCTGCTTCTGTCATCACATCTCTTCCTCTGTCTTTCTTCTGTCTCTTCCAATTTTAAGGACTTTAGGGAACTGAGACCTCCACACTAGTCCAGGAAAATCTCCCTATTTTAAGATCAGCTGACAGCAACCTCAATGGCAAGTACAACTTTAATTCTTGCGTAGTCACAGGTTCTAGGCATTAGGACATGGACATCTTTGGAGGAGGCTATTAGTCTGCCTACCTACAGGCCTAGGATTCCTAAAGCAGAAATAAATTTTTACTTATAGGTACCTTATACCTATTCTCCATATTCATGATGTCCTTGGCCTCCACCCCTCATCATGCAGTATGAGGCATCACAGACTATTATAGTCCCATGCTATTCTTTAATAAAAACTATATAGCTAAGCATGGTGGTGTACATCTGTAATCCCAGCACTTTGAGAGGCTGAGACAGGAAGATCATCACAAGTTCAAGACCAGCCTGGGCTACATAATGAGTTCAAGGCCACCCTGAACTACATAGCAAGATGACCTCATCTCAAAAAAAAAACACAAAAAAAACCCTGTATAGATATTTTTGCACAAATTATTTTAATTTGTGTCTCCTCTATCTATAAGCACCCCCAAAGGCAAGATCCAAGTCTTATCTTCTAATCGTAGAACCTCCAGCACCTAGAGGCAACTTTGCAGAGAATATGATTGGGAAATATTTGTGAAATGAGTGGTTATGACTAGGAAATCTTTAAATCTGAGATTGAAGAATAAAAAGGACTTTTTAGGCACTTAAAATTCTAAAACCCTAGGCCTAGAGAAGGATAATATAAGATGTCAAAGATAGGCCATACAGAATAAAAGCCATCTGAGTAAGGATAATGGTGTGCTTCACTTTGAAAATGTTGGATTTGAGCTGGGTATTGTGATGTGTGCCTGTAATCCCAGCCCTCAGTTGGCTGAGGTAGGAGGATTGCCATGAGTCTGAGGCCACCTTGGGCTACGTAGTGAGTTCAAGGCCAGCCTGAACTACAGAACAAGATCCCCTCTCAAAAAAAAGGAAATGTTGGATTTGAGGTACCAAGGTAAGTCCTATGGAGAGTCTGTCTTTGCAGAAAGGACAGATGGGGTCTTAGGGCCTGGCTGCAGATCCTCTCCATGGAATTGAAGCTTCTTGTGTAGATGGGGAGATGGGATAAAGAGCAAGAGCCTGGCCTCAAGGGTGGAGCCATGGGAAAGGACCATGTTTAGGAACCATAAAAGAAGGATCTGCAAAGGAAAGATGGGGTGGGAGGTGGGACCAAAAAGAAGGAGGCCCAGGAAGGAGGGCTCTGAGGAAAAGGTTGCAGTGGTGGAGATCTGAGAGCATGCCATCAAACAGAAAACCAAATGGCCACAGTGACATCCAGGAGTCTAAGCTGGTGCAGTGGAAGCTGGACAGGTGGCAGATGGAAAGAGGGACAGGTGGTAAGGAAGGCAGTTTGGAGCAGGGACAGAGACTGGGAACTGACAAGCAGGACTCCAAATTCTTATCGCAGCCCTCTACAAACCACAGTGGGCCTTGGGCAGCTATAAGTCCCAAAGCTCTCTGTTTCCTAACACATCCGTGAGGGCCTGCCAGCTCAGACAATGTGAGAGCTGTAACACTGACCTTTTAGACTTCTTTCAGCCTCCCTCAGCTTCCATGAGCCTTTGGACTTGGCCATCTGCACTCTCTGTCAGAGCCATTCCCACAAAGATGTAGTTATCCATCTGAGGCCAAGTATCCAAACATCCCCACTATTCAAATGCATGGCCCTTCCTTTCAGCTCTGGATATTAGAGAGTGAAATCCCTGTCCTGTCTGCCAATCAAGAGGATCTGGACACTTTTAAAACTAGAGGACACTTTTTTTTTTTTGGTACTGGGGATTGAACTCAGGACCTTGCGCTTTGGAGGCAGGTGGCAGAACCTGCTGAGCTAAATCCCGGGCTACCCTAGAGGAAACTTCTATACTGTACTTGGCCCAACTCTCAGAGCAGCCACCAGTTGCAGGCAAAGGTCTTAGGCACTTTGTCAGCCATCCAAGCTCTGCTCCCACTGTACAGTAGCACTGACCTCTGGAATTCTCCTTGGAAAAGAACCCAGAGGCCAAAACTCCCAGCCCAGAGGATATTTACTAGTCCCTCAGGCAGTCAACCCTGTTTCTTTGTATAGCAGGTAGGGCCATGTTGGAGGAAGTAGTGTTTTCTGGGTTTGAACCTCTGTTTGACTCTGCCAATTGTGGAGCCAGGGGAGGAGTACAGCTGTCCTGTGAAGGGCCCCATCGAATGAGTTTGAAAAAGGATTAAGAATCCAGACTTGCCTGCTGCCTTACAGTCCTGTCTGACATGACAAATAGAAGAGCTCAGAGAGGTGGACATGCATCATATAATGAAGAGGGAGTAGGATGGGGAAGAAATTCCTGTTTGTTTCATCTTTAATATTTATTTCTTATTTTCTCAGACCTGGGGACCAGACCCCTTTCCCTAGGTTTCCAAGCCTCACTTGTAAGACAAAAGGCAGAGCCGGAAGAACATGCTATACTGGATGTGCTTAATCTACCCAAATTCTCTTAACTGTCCTATGAGAAAGATTTCTAATAGCAGACACTTCTCTTATAGATGACAAGGTGAAATAACTTTTGCCCAAGATACACTGCTAGTGATTACAAAGGTGAGTTGCCCTCTGGGATAGATATAAATGTACAGCAGCCCTGCTGTGTGACCAGAAGGCCTCGTAAGTTACCACTAGCCCATGTTAATGTCACCTCATGGCAGGTGGGAAGGACAATAGCTCTCGGTCACTTATGAGATCCCCTGTTCCTCCAAGATTGTACTACTGCCACAGAACACTCACATCAGAGAGCTCCCCCAGCATACCTTCTTCCCTGCCTCCCTCCCTGTCAGCATCCCAAGGCTATCAGTCTGTTTCTTTTACACACACACACACACGCATGCACACACTGTCTCTAGTGCACAGGGCTCAGTAGTTCAAGGGTATTAGTTGTTTGTGGGGGTTTGTTTGTTTGTAGTACTGGGGATTGAACCCAGGGCCTTCACACTGAGCTACATTCCCCAGCCTATTTTTTTTATTTTGAGACAGGGTCTTGCTAAGTTACCCAGGTTGGCCTCAAATTTGAGATCCTCTTGCCACAGTTTACAGGCCTGTGCCACCACACATGTCCTACCACTTTCATTCAAAGGGCTTGTTCTTTGCTTTGTACTGGAGACTGAGGAGACAGAGGCATGTTCGCCTGGACAGGGTGGAGAGTGTGAAGGATTACAGGGACATGCAGTTGGGTCAACACAGACTGGGCCAGAAAAAAGAATCTCTAGGCTTCCATCTGCCTGGCTTTGCCTGGTAAACTCCCTGGATTTTGAAGACTGCTGTCCTTTCTACCTGCTCCACGCAGTTTCAGCCCAGCCCAGCAGGGCATCATTTTAAAATCTAATGCGTGCAATTTGGGACATTTACAGCTTTTCAGGAGCAAATAGCTTTGCAAATAAAGCCTAGCTCAGCTCTCTGGCAAGAATGTGCCCCTTTTCTCTAGCCACAAAAATAGTCGTTCCCTTTGAAAGTTCTACCACATCTCAGGAGATCCTCCTTGGGCCATTTTAAACATATGATAGTGTCATTCCAGGCTCCAGATCTCAAGTTCAGAGACAAAATGTTGGACACCTGCTACTTGACTCTATTCAGGTAATTTGCCTGATCCGTGATCACTTGGTTAGTAAGCATTGCAGCTGGATTTTAACTTCCAGTCCACTCACTCCACAAGAACTGCCTCGTTGTTGTGTGTTGGGATTCAGAAGCCCTTTCAGTTGTTCCCTAGGTCAAGATTCCCGACCCAAAAGTAACATTAGTAACAAGGATTGGGAGTGTCTCAGAGATTGCTGGTTGCCCACCCAATATCTTTTCTCTCGTTTCTTAGTAACAGAATCCCAATGTTACTTGGAAGTAGCAATGTGTCTCAGTA